TTGGTGTATTATTATTATATAAATCGGAGATATAATATAGATAAACCTTGTAGTTATGGGTATGCTTATGAAGTTAATTGTGGTATGGTGTTGTTATAGATTTTACTGGCTTGTATTATATTTTTACTTTTTCTATTGTACCTATATAGCTAGTGCTTCTAAAAGTTCTGCTTATGTTAAAGAGTAAATAAGGTTTAATAATGATTAAGCATCTATCTTTGTAGAATATAATATATTTATTTAATATCAGGACGGTAACGAACTATAAGTATTTTTTAAAATTCCAAGGATCGTTATAAGCAGGTAGATTATAATGAAATTCTTGTAGTAACCCAGTGCCAGTAACCCAGTTTAAAAGTATTTTCCTCGTAAAATTTCCAACTATTCTTTAAAAATTAATACATTCATTTCATAATAAACTAGGCCGCAGACCCGTTTTTTTTAAATAATAATTGGGCGTACATGTTAGGGTATTTTTAATTTTTATCCTCTCCTTATAATTAATATATAATTCAATTGTATTGCATCATATTTCTAATTAAAATTGATTAATTAATATTATAAAAATGATATTGTTTTAACTGTTACCCATATGTAATAATAATACAAAAACTATCAACGGATATATCCATAGGTAGGTACATACATAAGTTTAGGTAAAAAAAACTCACCTGGAAACAGCCGAGTACATAATTAATGTAAGCGGTGACGGTGGCAACCCTTAAATCTGCGTTAATCAACGTTTAGACAATGCGCCCGCCATCTTGCCGGCCCCGCCCGCCTCCCGCATCCCGCACGCCCCGTACACCCCTCGGCCCCCTACTCCCCCCTATACGGCGGTTTAAGGAGGAAACTTAGGCTCTATTGCTTACGGTTAAAGTTGTGTGATTTTTAATACGACTTAATTTTGTTCTTGTTTTGAATTAAGTAATAAGTATGTGACAAAAAAAGAGTTCTGGCAAAAAATAAGATTCTTGGAGTCTTGGATATAGTAATATATAAATAGGAGTTACTTATTAGATTTCTCTAAGCAGAATGTATATATATAATAAAACAATAGGCCTTTTGCACGAGTTCGTAGACTTCAGCTACGACGCTACGAATTGACTACGACTCGAAGCTACGATATTTTGACATTAATAATTATTAACGTAAACGTAACATTACGTGTATTCATAATCTAACTCCTAAGCGGTTGGTCTGATTTAGATACAATTTTGTTCATACTTCAATGGCTTCTTGGATAGTCTGAAAGTACAATATGACCAACAATATGAGGTAGTGTTGCCTTTTCAGAGGGTGACGCCTGCCAGGTTCGCTAGGTATAATTATATAGTTTTTCAGTTATGAGTCAATGTGATCACATATATAAATAATCACAGATAAATAATCTGAGAGAAGGTTTAGTTTACTACTCAACCTTAACTATAAAGAACTACTGTTCCACAGAATAAAATAAGTATTAGGTAATAGATTATCGGCTTGTTAAGTCTTTCAATTACTTCAGGTATTATAATTATTAAGTTTAAATCTTAATCTTTATATAATATTATAAACGCGAAAGTTTGTTTGGACGTTTGTTACTCTTTCACACAAAAAGTACTAAACAGATTTTGATCAAACTTAACAGTAAAATAGCTTATGCATCAGGATAACATATAGGCTATATTTTATATTGAAATTTAATGCGGGTGAAACCGCGTACACTGCTAGTTAATAATAATGTTACTAATCTCTGAAAAAAATAACATAGAATATCTACAAGTGTAAGAAAGCTTTACAACGCGTATAAAACAATCCTACAATGTACGAATATAAATTATGTATTATAAATCACATTAACTATGTAAACGAGTGTTGGTAATATGCATTTACCACAGCAAAACACGACAATCGTTATTTATCGTCACAAAGTCCCCACACACGTAAATAAACATATTCTTTTGTCAGTCTAACAAATAAAAGAGCTCCTCATAAGCTGTCAACAGATTCTTGCCCTCGGAGAAAATACTAACTCCACATTTTCTGGTCTTTATACCATATTTACAAGACATTAGGACGCATTTTAGAATGTTACAGAGCAGCAAGTTTGTTTGGTCGAGATAGAAGCCTTCTCGTAGTGAAAAATGAGCATCTCTTGTTGTTGGGATTAAAAATTATACGCGTCTTTGTTTCGCAACGTGGTGGTGGGGTGGCTGTATTGCGGCGCGGTGGGGTTCCTTATCCAGACCATGTTTGTATAAAAACTAGTATTATTTAAAAACAACGATTTGTTTCGCTTTACATTGTAAAAATATGTTTTCGTTTAATTTCCAATGTAATAAGTTTGTTCAATACCGTTTGTACAGTACCGTTTGTTCATGTATATATATCGTTCTATATAATAAGTCAAAGATAATGACAGCCTCGGTGGTCTAGCACACAGGATTAGCACACCGTTTACTTCCGATGGTTGCGGGTTCGATTCCACGCATGGTACAAACATTTGTATTTATGAGTGAACTCAAATGTTACAAACAGTCATACTGTTTGTATCGGTCTGGGTGTTTTATATATATATGATGTATGTATTTACAAAAAAATAACAGTTTAAAATTTATATCAATGGTCTAGTACCTACCCATAACACAAGCTCTACTTACATTGGGACTACTTAGTGTTGTGTGAATGAAATCTAAGCGTGCAGATATTGGAATAAAATGCTTATCAATTCTAGTGACAAATTTAAACAAAAGTATAGCAAATCCTCCTTCTATTACATGTGTTAACAAACTGCGGCAAGTATAAATACTGTATGATCTATCTCTTGGGGACAAAGAGAATCAACCAAATAATAAAAGTCTCTGTGAAGGATTGTAAAAATACTGTTAAGAATATGCCATGTTTATTAATATAATGTATTGTTTTTCTAATAATATATATTAGAAAAATAATGCATGTTAAAAGCATATAAGGGAAAGGAATGTTAAAGATTTCGGTAATAGTCTTTGTTACTGAACAACTTATGCGTATCAAGTTTCATAACTTGTACTTATACCGCATTTTCTGGAGACTGTATATGTTCCATCATAACTTAATGCATTATTACCGTCTAAGTATATTAAGCTTGTGTTACTTAGAACAGAATATTTTTGTATGAATATGCATTACCAATTTTTGAAAGCATGGCATTTCAATTAAACATTCAAAATAATTTATTCATATAGGATATTTTAGCTGCTTATGAACGTCAAAGCTTATGTATTACCTAATATTTTTGTTTCTACCTATTTGCAACAATTTTTTGCATTACTTAATTTTAACGTTTTTGTCATCATTTTGTAATTCCGCCTGACGAAACAAAATATATTTTGTACGAAACTTTTGCAAGCTCTTCTTTTTAGAACGAAAGCAGGTTGTTGTATTATACTTAGATTCAATTTTGATTTCGTTTTTATAACTGTGGTGTTAACTCATAAAACGTAGTATTGTTCTGTGACCTCTGATTATGATTTAGTTCAACTAGTATATAGCTAATTAGCGCAGTGACAGGGTATATTCGTATGTATGTATGTTCACTCACCAGGGTCCCGGGTGAGAGGGGAAGGGGTTGCGGGCCGGCGCTACGGGCGCCCCCCACCTGTCACTGCGCTCGACTCTTGAACAAAATCATCAGGTCAGAACATGGTGCTTTACGACCAGATTTATCTCAACGCTAACTATTTTCTCCTATACTTAAAAAGTCCCATTGTTTAATATCTCTTTATTTTAATTATTTGAGATTCTCTAACGGCGCCAATGCCTATGTGTGATACATAAGCCAAATAATTTCATAAAAGTCGCCTATGCTTATCCTACAGTTACCTATAGAGATGTATTTATTTTTCAGAAATATAGGTACTTTTAATTTAAATTATGGTAAAGTAAGGTATTCTATAATTGACATGAATAAACCACAACTATACCTCCTTATAGTTTTATTAAATATATCGTACTTGTTTTGGAAACTTCCAAATATATGTCCTATTTTAGGTTAGTTATATTAAATAATTATTATTCATAACAAGAACTCTATGATCTTAACGTCAAATTAAAAGCAATGAAGATACGTAAAGGATGTTAACAAATTTTGAAATGTAACGTGTAATACGTCTTTATACCATTTTTATGAATGAAGTCCGATTACATACATACACACACACACATACATAGTAATAACTATTACGTCATAATTAACATTAACGACAAGCTAAGCTATCACGACATTTAACTTACCTTGAAGTGGACGCCGAGATTACAAAAACCAAGCATTGCTCCACATTCTGGTCGAAACCACACTGGATTTTGTGGCAAGACGTACCTTGGTGTAATTTTTAGATTTCCATAGTTTTTGAAGTAATTTAATCAGATATTTTGTATAGCAATAACAATTATTTTTTTAAGCAAACATGTACTAACATGCCAATTTACTGGCAACTAAGTCAAATCGATATGTGATAATATATTTTATATTCCATTTTAGTATTTTTGCCGTGGAATAAGTGGTAGAATAAAAAATATAATATTCAAAAGTACTTAGATTATGTTCATTTGAGTAAAGATTATTTCTATATTATTCTATTTTTATTCTATTCTATACAAACTTTTAAGAAGGTAAAGAAATACTTGTACTTTATTTAGCGTTCAATTATGTGTATTAAAATCCGTTAAACAATATTACTAAAGCGTACTAAATAGGTACTATTAAAGGTAAAAGTTTATATGTAACTTCCATATTCGTATTGTAATACATACATTACATATCAACTTTAGTTGAGAAATCCAATTGTAATGAGTTGTTTGATCTTTCTTATTATTAAAATAATAACGTATTTCAAATATGATTACTCTATTTTAATAAATTATATCAAATATGACATAAAACATACGTCCAGAGTCATCTGGTGAGAATATGTTTAGTTTATTGTAAGTTATACTTATGATTGCATCACAAGAGAACTCTGGATAAGTGTAAGCCTCACCGAACTCACCAAGCAGCCAGGGTGCTACCGAGTCGTTCTCCTTAGCGCTCTTGAGTATAGTCTCAGGAAGTGGCAAGGAGTGGCGCACCATAGCTCCGTAAAGGCCGTACTCGGCCATTATTGTCGACCTTCCCCAGCATTTTTCTGTTTTGCGCCATTTTGCACGTCGGTTTTGGAACCAGACCTGTTGAGATAAACACAGAATTTATAACAAAATATTCTTCACCAAAGGTTGACTGTAAAACTCGTCTGCCTCACCCAGCTGTCGCCAGGCAGCTGGCTTTGTTAGCTGTGTTTTGCTTGTAGGGTGTAGACAGTCAAATTACAGGTTTAGAGGCATGATATCTTAGTGCTCTGAAATGGCAACGCTTGAGTGTAACACAGATGTCATATGATGATGTATCCATAGTACTGTTCATGTATACAGTAGGCCATCAGCTTGTTTGCCATTCCAATAACATAAACAGATCTTCCTATTTATCAAAATGCACAAAGCATTTTATTTGTGGCGAAGGATGACCAAAAAAGAGATAGATGGATTGTGTGAAACACAATATAAATGGAGAATAAACTCAGATACGACGGCTCATAAGGATCAGTGAAACAAGAGGACATACTACGCCGACAATGCGCTCAAATAATGAATAAATGGATTAAAGGAAAGGCAATGATGATATTTATTAGTAAAAAATATGTTTAACACTAGGTACTTCCGCAAATACCTCATTAACTCAGGTCCAGCTCAACACGGGGACAGCACTAAGCGCATAATACAAACCAATTATTGAAACAAAACGCGACTAAATTAAATTTTCAAATTCACTACGTCCCACCCGACCCCCACTAGTCAGTTTACTCAACATAGGGCTGTCGAAAACAGCATATCCGCGTGCCTGACAGCGTTGTTAAATATTAGTTAATATTATTCTCTTAAAGGAAAATAATATCTGGATTTCATGTTTACGGAAATCAAATTCGAAAAAAAATATTCCACTATTAATACAGTATGGAAGAAATGCACATTATACAGGGTTCTACAGCAGTAAACTTTAATTTTACTAAGTTATAATAAATTCACAATTTATTTCTTAACTTATCCTATGTAATAAAGGGTTCATTTTGTATAAATATTTTTTTTATGTTATGTGACAGTTTCTAAATACCTATACAGTTGTGGTAATCCTACTCTAATTAGGTTTCTCTTTTTCAAGATATACTCACATGTTCATACTTGTTTACACTTTTATATTTAATCTAGAATAACATGATTGTCTCTTTTTAATATTTTAACAATTAAAACAAGGAGTTACAACCCTACTCCGACCGCATGGACCGCCACTCCCCTCCCGGGCCTCGCCGTCGTACAAAACAGTTAATTTCCAATTAAATTTGTTAATTAAACTCGATCTGCTCTCACAAATTAATACTCCAGCGGTATTATGTTCCAGAACCGTCTACCGGCGTGTACCTACTGAATGCCCATCGCTGACTACCCATCCCTCTTTCCAAACCGTATACCACCCGGGAACCACCTCTCTATCTATTAGTTCTATTAAGTTAATGACTAAGACAATAGTAATGTATATATAGTATAAGGTTTAATGAATCCTTACTTATATGTTTTTTTGTATGGGTGAATATAGAACAAGGAAAGAAGTATCTGTGCTCTACGCTAGCGACACACCAGTGGGGTATGATAGGATGAGAATAAAACCAGGTCGAATAACCCACCATGGTAAATTAACCTGGAATTCATCGTAGTAGGTGCCAGGGAGGACCGTGTGGTGGTTAACTTGACAAAGAACATGTAGGTGTGTTAGCAATGTGGCCATTAGTTCCTAGTGTTAACAATCCTCTCTCCCTTCCATACTTACCTACCTATATTGAAAATGTACAAGTAAATTAATTTGCTTGGTTCCTTCATTGTTAAAAGGTGTGGCGATATCTGGAATATTGTGCCGAAACCAAATTCAAGAAATATAGGTTCTAAATTGAACTGTATCTTTTAAGAGTAAGGGATGTCATATCTTTGTGAATTTTTAATTATATTATCATTAAATGTATTTATTATAGTGTTGGTACCTAAATAACCCTTAGTACCTACATAAATACATTTGTAAACAGGTTTTAGTAAGTTTGTTTTTCTGTGGATTAAAATCTTAAATTATATTACTATAACTATATAAAACTAGCGTTATTCCACGATATTGTCTGCGTGAATTCGAAAAAAAATGTGAAACATTTTAAGTTATCATCTAGGTATCTTTGTAAGAAATTTCTCGATTCCATACAGTAGTTTCTGCGTAAAAACAAATTAACATACATCAATCTCAAAAAAGTTCTTATTTTTTTTATTATAACATTAGCAGGATTTGTTATAAAGACGCATCCACAATGCCCGCAGCGGTCACTGTATTTCGTGCAACAGTCGATATTGATTGTGACCCAATGCGCTGTGACAGGGTAATTGTTCGAGATTAGGCAGGCCGACCGTCGCTCTATAGGGATTAGTCTCTCAGTAGTCCCTTAATTGTTTGTGGATAACCGTATTACAGTGCCGCTGATTGAGCGTGATTTTTTTTCGACACAATTTCTCGGTAATACTGCATTACTTGCATTCTGATTCATTGATTGAACAGAATAGTCTTAGGTATGGTATAACAAGGATATATTTTATAAGACTAACGTAGTTGTAATTTTATGTTAAATACGGAGTTAGATCCTAATCGCCTTCGTACTTCCTATAATGTATAGCAGTGTACTATTGAAACTATAGGTCTTAGTGCTGCCAATTTCGGAGCCCTAAAACTCTATAACAACGCAGTTCGGTTAGTACCTATGATCACACATACGGATGAATAATCTACTATTACTTTAATTACATAAATGTAAATAAATATATTCATTTTGTTATTAATAGCGTATGTAAAGAGAATGTAGGCGAAATTGCCAACTACCCCGCACATAACTCAGTCGGCAGGTAATTACAAAACAAACCCGTAATATAAGGCATACCGTTATCGCAGTCATCTCCATTACCTCCTAAGCATTCTCGCAGCATTTACTAATTAACATACACGCACAAAGGTTCGTAATTGTTAATTTGGCAGCACATTCGCGCCCGTTAATGATGCGTGACGACGCACGAGAGAATTGCTCGCACCCAACAATTTATTACTCGTGTCACGTCACCAGTGTGTATAGAGCCCTTGTAGTCAAGTCTAACGTTGTGCTACTTTCACCAATATTATATTGGTTTACATCGCTAAAATAACAATATAGGTAAATCTATACATTTTATGTAGGTTTAAGAGAAACACAGCACTAGGACTTTATGCTTAAGTCGTGGAAATTTCACATATTAGCACCGAGCGATTCGCGTCCCCATTTTTTAAACTGCCAAAGAGTGGAATGCACTTCCTGCTTTCATGTTATAAGAGAAATACAACCCCAGATTCAAGTCTATGGTGAATAGATAGATCATCTTTTGGGTAAGCGCGTTACATCCTAGGTCTCGCTATCATTTCCCATTAGATGAGGTAAGACCAAGTGAAAAACCCATTCATAATAACGGATAAGGTCTACCTGACGGTATGTAGTAACGTGTCATGTTACCGGTGTGAATAGAGCCCTTATAGTCAAATGTAACGTTGTGAAACTTTCAACAACAATAGGTATATTGGTTAACACCGCTAAAATAACGATGTAAGTAATTCTATATATTTTTATGTAGGTTTAAGGGCAAACAAGGCCCATCTGTTGGAAAATAGCAACTATGTACATGAACAGTATGATCGGCGAGAACTGAGGACTCTGTTGATAAGCCTCACTTTGTACCCTGCAATTTTACGAGGTGTCTTTTCTGTTGAGCACAGGGGACAAATGAGCTTGCGGCTCATCTGATGGTTAATGATTATCGCCGTTCATGAGCACCCGCAACACCAGGGGAATTGCAGGTATGTTGCTGGTATCTATTGTAGGTAACGTAACAAAAGTATTCCTGAGAATGAATTTGTAACCTATTTATTCATTTATTGTTCCTCAATCGCATAACTTCACTGCCACATACACTTTAAAATGGTATGAGTGCTATCTAACATGTAGATTTTTTCGACCTGTAATAACTTCAATAGACGTAAGATATAGAAGGTAGACGTCCGCTACATTATCTACACTAATATTAATAAAAATACAAATCAAATATTTAATCAATTAATCAATTTAATCAAAACATTTAAAAGTTCCTTCACTTTTGGGAACCTGCATTATCTTTATTGTCATCCAGTCTATCCTTAGAGATCCGCACGAATGGTCACATTAGTTCAAGGGTCGCGTTTGTACCATTTGTGTAGTAATTTGTATACACTCGAGTGAATATAGGTTTGTCTGCTGTCGGATTTGCAACTTACGGTTAATGTTTTATAACAAAAAATTAATTTAACATAATTTCTAAACCTTATCTAACCTTTTATCTAAAACAATTGTCTTGTAAAATTATTTATGAAATTCATAAATCACTTATTAACTTAACTTGCATAAATGACTAGAAATGTAGGATGTTTTTAGTAATTGAAATTACTATTAAACTAAAATCCCTAGAATGAACAGCTATTGCTATGCACGTTTATCATTTATGTAATCGTTTACTGAATAATAGTATGTTTTAATAGATTTACTTATTTTTTTAACAGACATTTTAAGATTAAAGGTTTGAGAACTTTTAGTTGATATTATTATAAAATTGTATACCAGTAGGTATAAGTATAATTAAAATAAAATTTCTATTGTTTTTTTCTAAAGTTACGCTCACACTCTCTCACTATGAAATGTATAGGTACTTACATATAAATTATTCAATAATTCAAACTATCTAAAATATCAATATAGATCTATCTAAAAAACTATAAATCATAATACATAGTTTTTGACGTACCTACTTAGGTACGTAGGTACGTATATACCTTTAAAAAAAAATTTGATAATATTGTCTTACCTTGTCAATTATGTTACGAACATTGCAATAAAATTACGAAATTACAACGGACGATCGCGCCCCATCGACTGTATTACGGGGTGTAATCCATTGTGAGCCGAACAAAGGGGATAATGTAATGCTTAACGGATGACGCGATTAATGGGGTATAGCCGATAGTGACGAAACGGAACAGGGTTGTCGTGATTAAC